TCCATCCATCCATCCATCCTTCCTTCTATCCATCCATCAGTCTTTTCCTCCCTCCCTCCCTCCTCCCCTTCCCTTCATTCTTTCCTCCCATGCATTCATTCACCCACCCATCCAGGTAGTCACTGAAAACATACTATGTGCCTGCACAATATTATCCAGTGCTAATGATACAGAGGTAATAAGATGTGGTCTTCATTCTTATGAAGCTCAGAGTCTTGTGGGGAGACACACAGACAACTAGATGATTACAACAGAGCATGATGAGTGCTGTGATAGGAAGGCACAGGGCACTGAGGAAGAACGGACAAGGTAGATTTTATTAATCAGCTTTTGCTGCTAGAGAATGCTGCATAACAAACTGCCCCCAAATATCAGTGGCTTATCAGAAACATTCATTTCTCTTGCTTGAGGGTCTGCGGGTCGGCTAGGATGGTTCTGCTCCAGGCTGTAGGCGTGATTAAGGTCTTCATAAGTGCCCTTCATCTTCCTTGACCAATGGCCACCTGGACCATGTCTTTCTCAAGGGGAATGGCAAGAGGGCTTAGAGGAAACGCAGAATGCCTCTTAAGGCCTTGACTCAAAATGTCACACTGTCACTTCTTCCACATTCCATTCGTCCGCCTGCAAGTCTTTGCCCTTGTCCTAGGAGACTCCTGGGTCCATGCCAGCTCTGGTCTCACCCCAGGGGTCTTCCCAGACAACTGGAGCCGGGGCCAGCTAGGAGACCCCAGGCCTCTGCTCCAGCCTCCACCACCATCCTGAAGCCTGGGTTCTCGGGTGCCCTTGGCTGGTTTCTCTGTAGGTCTGGGACGAGGCCAATGTGCGGGCTCAAGAGTTGGCCAAGAGAGACGGCTGGGTGAACGTGTCACCATTTGACCACCCCCTGATATGGTAAGCTCAGTGCCCCTCCTCAGAGCTGGGAGGTCCTCACTGAGACAGGGTCCTCCCATTGAACAGAAGGGGAAACTGAGTCCCAGAAGACAGAAGGGGCTTTGAAGTCAGGGTTCAGGCCCTGCCTTTGCCACTTGTAAGCTGTTTGACTTTGTGCAAGGCACCTCACTGCCCCGTGCCTAAGTTTCCACGTGTGTAAAACAGAAATGATAGTAATAGGTCCTCTTTACTGAGTGTGTCCTCTGGGACCGGGTACCAGGCTAAGGACTGTCCCTTCACGCTTCAATCCTCCCCAGAGCCCTGAACAAACAAACAAACCCGTTGCTGTTGGAGTCGATCCCAACTCATAGCGACCACAGAGCCCTAGTTCACACCGCAAGCGAGTGGCAGAGACCCCGGGTCTGAAACCCAGAACTTGAGTCGAGCTGGCTCCAACTGATGTGAAGGTCCCCTCTTAACCCCACACGCTAACGTCGCTTCTTTCCAAAGTTTTGGGAAGATTTAATGGGCTAATGTCTGAGAAAGTGCCTGGGAGGTTGATGGGGGGGGAAAGAATGAATGAATAAATGAATCGAGCGACAGCATGAAAGACAATTGATCGAAGTGTGGTAGGATCTCTTTTCCCCTTGCTGTGGATGGGAAGGGGGATGGTGATGAAGGGGGTTTGTATACATGTGGGGGTGAGGAACTTCGGGGCTGGGGTGCTCCCTGACCCTCTCCCTCCTCCCATCCTCCTCTCCAGGGAAGGCAATGCCAGCCTGGTTCAGGAGCTGAAGGCAGCACTGGGAGCCCCACCAGGTGCCCTGGTGCTGGCAGTAGGGGGCGGAGGTCTGCTGGCCGGGGTGGTGGCTGGCCTGGTGGAGGTGGGCTGGTGGCATGTGCCTGTCATCGCCGTGGAGACCCGTGGGGCGCACTCTTTCAATGCGGCCATTGAGGCCGGCAGGCTGGTCACTCTGCCAGACATCACCAGGTGGGCACCAGCAATTGTGAGGGGCTGAGGGTGGGGGGGGGTGTCACTGCCTCAGAGCCTCCCAGTCTCAGCCAGTAGGGGGCGCCCAAGAGGGTCTCCCTTCTCGGGGACTCCAACCACAGCAGGGTGGGTAAGTTAGAAGGCAGTGCTGACAAATTAGGCAAAGGCATAGGACTCTCCATTTCATCAGTTAAACACGGTTTCCTGAGTTTGTATCATCGCAAAAGCACTTGAAGCGTGTTGCAGATAAGTGAGAAAATCTAGACAGCAATGCGTGACCCAGAGCAAAACATCACCCTCTGCTCCACCATCCAGACACAAACATGGCTCAGACCGGCTGTGTGTTTGTCCAGTCTTTGGGTTTTTTTTCCCACCTCCCTTGTGCATATATGAGGAGCCCCGGTGGCGCAGTGGTTAAGTGCTCCACTGCTAACCGAAATGTCGCTGATTCGAACCCACCAGCCACTCCGCAGGAGAAAGATGTGGCAGTCTTCTTCCATAAAGATTACAGCCTTGGAAACCCTGTGGGGTAATTCTACTCTGTCCTATAGAGGTCGCTGTGAGCTGGAATCAACTCAGTGGCAACGGGTTTGGCTTTTTTTGGCTTTGTACGTACGCACATGTATTTTACATACATGCAAAAATGTGCCTGGCCCATAGTAAGAGCACAACGCATGTTTGTGGAATAAATGAATGAATGGATGATACATTTTAAAAAATTGAGATGACATCCTTCATATTGTTTTATATAGAGGAGCCCCAGTGGTGAAGTGGTTAAAGTGTTTGGCTGCTAACCAAAAGGTCAGAGGTTGGAATCCACCAGCCACTCCTCGGGAGAAAAGACGTGGCAGTCTGCTTCCATCAGGATTACAGCCTTGGAAACCCTATGGGGCAGTTCTGCTCTGTCCTATAGGGTCGCTATGAGTTGGAATGCCTTAACAGCAGTGGGTTTGGTTTTTTGGTGATTGTTTTATAACTTCTATGTTTCTAGTGAAGTCCCTGAGTGGTAGAAACGGTTAATGTGTTCAGCTGCTAACCGAAAGGTTGGTGGTTTAAGTCCACCCAGAGGCACCTCAAAAGCGAGGCCTGGCAATCTATTTCTGAAAGGTCACAGCCATTGAAAACCCTATGGAACACAGTTCTACTCTGACACACATGGGGCCACCATGAGCTGGAACCCACTTGACAGCAGCTGGGTACTAGAATGTTTCTAGGTTGTATCCCATATCGTGAACACAGTTTTGTTTCTCTGTATTTTTTTCGGCCGCGTCATCAGAGAGCTTTCCCCCCAACCCCGTTACATTCTTTTGGGAGGAAAGTTGTTATTTATTTTCATTGTGCTAAACACCGTGTAACAAAACATCTGCCGTTTCAACGTTCTTCACAAGTACAGTTTAGAGACATTACATTTTGTTCAGTATGTTGTTCAACCATCACCCGTCTCAGTCTCCAATTTTTCCATCTCTTCCATTGCATGTTGTCACTGATTTTAATTCAAATGTGGACAATTTCTGACCAACAAACAAACAGAGCGTGGTCCGGCCTCCAGGCCCAGCCTCATCTTATACACTTCCTTGTCACTACCACCAACGCCTTCATGGACCCTATGACCTCCCACTTTATGCAACATCCTCAGGTGCTGGGACTTAGGCTGTAACTGTGTATATAGCAAGCTGTCTGAATTCAAGACAGCCTGGAAAGTCATTTTTATTCAGCACTTACTATGCACAAGCTTCCAGATAGTCAATTAGAAAAACCACACTCTATCCTTGCTTCAAGCAGAATGAGACCTCAACCCACGTGTCTCCTTCTTGTCTTTCTGGAATCATCTCCGCTCTTTTCCAACACACACTGTCTTACGATGCTGAGCTGTAGCCCTTTGCAGGACCGGGGAGGGCGGCCTGGGGCTGGCGGACTGAGGCTGTGCGGGGAGGAACCTGATTCTCCAGCTTTTCTCTGCACTCCCTGTCCCGCCTTCCCCCACCCTGCAGTGTGGCCAAGAGCCTGGGTGCCAAGACAGTGGCCGCGCGGGCCCTGGCGTGCACGCAGGAGTGCACGATCCTGTCTGAGGTGGTGGAGGATGTGGAGGCCGTGAATGCTGTGCAGCGGTTCCTGGGTGAGTGAGCATGGCCCCTGCCCGGGGATGGAGACCCTCAGAGTCTGTGGACCCTCTAGCATGAGCATGTTCTTACTCCTCTGTATCCTCAGCACCTAGTGCAGGGTTGGGTATGCAGTGGTTATAAAATAAGTGCACACAGAATCAATGGAAGGGTGGGTGGGGTGCGGAAGGAGTGTATCCTGCTGTCTCCAGCCTCCAGTCTATTGTACATGCTGTTCCTCCCTTGGGCATGCCTATCCCTGGCCCTGCTCCCTATTGGCCCTTTCCCAAGACTAAGGGCTACTCTGCCTCCTCCAGGAAGCCTCCCCTGCCTGGATTTGAGGGCTCCTAAGTGCCAACCCATCTATTTATAACTGCCTGGTTTTTATCTGTCTCTACATCACTAGACTGTGAGCTCCGTGAAGGCGGGGGCTGCTGTGTCTTATTCACTGCTGTGTCCCCTGGGCCTTCCTGGTATAGGGCCTGGCAGGTAGTGGGGCTCAATAAATATTTGTTGAATGAATGGATGAACGTATGAGTGAGTGGAAAAGTGGATCATGGATAGATGGATGTGGATGGATGGGTGGGTAAATTGATGGAGTCATGGATTGGTGAATGATAGATGGATGGGCACGTTGATTAATGGACATATTGATGAATGGACAGACAGACAAATAGTCAAATGATAGGGGAATGGATGGATGGAAAGATGGATTATGGATGGAAGGATGGATGGACAACATTGATTGATGAACACACTGCTGGATGGACTGACAGTCTAATGATGGATGGGGGATGGATGGATAGATAGATATATGGTCAGATTGATGGATGGGCAGAGAGACAAATGATGGATAGTGAGATGAATGGATGAATGGCTAGATAGACAGATGGATGATGGATGGATAGATGGATTGATGATGGATGGATAGATGATGGATAGATGGACGATGGATGGATGGATGGATGGATTGATGACGGATGGATAGATGACGGATAGATGGGTGATGGATAGCTGGATGATGAATGGATGAATGATGGATGGATGGATAGGTGGATGGATGGATGGATGGATGGATGGATGGATGGATGGATGGATGGATGGATGGATGACTTCATGGATTTGTGGTGTCCAGAGCCTTTTGAACATTAACTGATTCTCCCTTTCTCTCCCCTTCTCTCCCCTTCTCTCCCCCATCCCTTCTTGGGCAGATGACGAGCGTATGTTGGTGGAGCCTGCCTGTGGGGCAGCCTTGTCTGTCATCTACTCAGGCCTCCTGGGACGGCTCCAGTCCGAGGGCCGCCTCAGCCCCTCCCTGGCCTCAGTTGTGGTCATTGTGTGTGGAGGCAACAGCATTGATAGCCAAGAGCTCCAGGCCCTGAAAGCCCAGGTGGGCCAGAGCTAAGGGATCTGGCCTGAGAGGGTCAGCCAGGACCCAGAGACCCCCAAGAGGCTCATGGACCTCTTTGTGGCTGGCTGAGAGGGACATATGTGCCAGCAGACAGCAGTGGAAGCTACTGTTCTTCTGTGCCAGCTGCCTCCTGCAGGAAGCCCTCCTGACCACTCCCTTTGGCTCTGCTGCAGCTCCCGCCAATAAACCCTTTCTGAGTTGAGTGTGTCACTCCCATGGGTCTGGTCTTCCCACCTCCATGAGCTTGTAGAAGGTACCTGAGGCAGGCTCTGGGATGAAGTGACTCCAGGCGACATAGCTTGGCCACAAAGTTTTGAAAACTCAGGCTTGCCAAAGGGATCTAGCCATGCTGAACACCTACAAGGGCTTCCCTTACCTGGGGTACCTGCTCAGGTAGACCAGGTCTGTCACTTTTCAGACCTGGGCGGGCAAGGACAGTAATCACCAGTGTTCATCGAGGGCTTGTTATGTGCCGGAAACTCTCTTAGGGCTTTCTTCTTGTTGCTTTCTTGAATATTCACAAAGGCGCTTGAAGTAGAAACCATTATTATCGTCCATCGTACTGATGGGGAAACGGAGGCACAAGTATGTTACATAACTTGCCCAAGGTCACACAGCCGGAATATGGCCCAGCCAGGGTTCAAACTCTATCGTCTTCAATATCACTCTATGTTGCTTGAACCTCAGCTTTCTTTGTGCGGGGTTAGGTGGTGGTGGGATATTTGGGGAGGAGGTAGGACCCCCAGGTCAGTCTGGATGCACCTGTGGGTCGCAAATTGAGGCAGGTCCTGGGCTTGGCATTAGGCACCTCCCACCGCTGGGAAGCAGCTCTTTGGAAAGAGATGAAAAGTGAGAATCTTTTGGAGCCACAAGGGGGCAGCAAAGTGTCTTTTATGGGGAAAGCTGGCTCCCAGCAGAAAGGTCCTCCCCTTGGGTCCTCCTTGACTCTCTACCCCTGTGAGCTCCTAACCCTGGCTAGAGGGCCTAGGTCCCTTAAACGGCTGCAATCCACAGGCCTGGGATGGAGAGGCTCAGAGAGTGTGGGATCCACCCAGGGCCACGCAGCCCATCACAGAAACTAGCTCCCGGCTGACCCTGGGCCTCTCTTCTGCCTAATGCATGCTGTGTGACCCCAGGCAAGTTCCCTCCCCTCTCTGGGCCTCAGGATGCACCTCTGTGCTCTGTGCTGTAGGAGGGCCCCTTGCCCCTTCCCACGTCCTGTCCTTTGCCCAAGCTGTTCCTTCCGCCGGGCACCGCCTCACACAGGTTTTCTGGAGAGGAGTGTTTGAATGTGGCAGTGACCTCCTTCTGCTTCCCTGGCTGTCTCAGCTCACTCTCTGACCCCAGACACAGCCCTCAAATACCAGGGCTCCCCAGCTAGGTTTCCCTGGAGTCAGACGGTGTCAGCTCCCCAGAATCAAGGAGAGATTAAGAGCCTCATTGCCTTGAGCAAATGAAGCTGCCTCTTAACGCCTCAGTCTTCATATCTGTAAAACAGGTTATCACTATGGACCTGGCATATGAAGCCTTCCAGTAAGTGTTTTTGTTAGCTGCCATCAAGTTGGCGCTCAACTCACGGCGACCCCATACGCAGAAGAAGGAAACACTGCCCAATCCTATGCCATCCCCATGCTTAGTTGCAGATCAGACTGTTGTGATCCATAGGGTTTTCACTGGCTGATTTTTGGAAGTAGATTGCCAGGCCTTTTTTCCTAGTCCATCTTAGTTCTTACTATTTCCTGAGCGTTCCACCCCCAACAACAGGGAGTGGGAAGGAGCTAGAATTTATGGAGCACCTACTGTGTACCATCGGTTCGACCAGCCATTTCATTCAATCCCCACAATAACTTATGTGGGAGAAACTATTATTGTCCCCGTTTTGTGAATGAAGAAAGTGAGGTTGAGTCACTTATTCCAGGCCACGCAGCAAGACTGGAGCCCAGGTATGTAAAAATCTAAAGTGTGCGTGTGTGACCACTATGTTCTGCTACTCTCATGCTGCCTTTCCTTTGCTTAAGCCCTGTCCCTGCCTACCATGCTCTGTATGCTTCTAAACCCTACACACTCTTCAAAGCCCAGTAGGAGGGCAACCTCCTCCAGGAAGCCTTCCTGAATTACTTCAGCCAGCGATGCTCTTGTCCCCAGCCCAGGTGAGTAGCAGAGCCTGCTTTGGTCCCAGGTGCTCTGCCTCCCAGTCGGGCCTCTGCCCACGGCTGCACCCTGTTGCCTGACCTCCTGAGAGACTCTTCAGCTGCTGTTTGTCCCTCTCCTGGTCTCGGTGAGTGGGAGATAAGAAGCTGAGGTGTCTGTTGACTCTGTCTAGATAACGAATGTCAATTAGCCTAACATAGGCTTTCCTGGTTGGCACCCAAGGCACGTGGAGACCAGGGCAGGAGGCACGGAGAAAGAGCAAAGAAACGGGCCATGGATGTTATGAGTCGATGTGGCAGGGATGGGCACGGGGACAGAGGGAATCGTAGGGCACTGCCTTGGTCTCCTGGGAGCTCTTGGCTGGGGAATTGGGGAGCGTAGGATGAGGCTCCGGGAAGCAGGGGCTGCTCCGTGTTTGTCTAAGGCTGCATGGAGAGCACCTGCAAACCTGGCTGCCAGGTGTGTGTACCTGCCAGAGATACGCAAGCTTCCCCATCCCAGCTGGGGCCCCTCTCTGGGTCCCTGTGGGTTCTAGCCTCGCCTCACCCAACCTTTCATCCCAGCCATAGAACCGAGGTAACCAGGAGGTGTGGGATCCAGCTGTTGGCTGGCAGTTCTCACCCCAGAGCTGGCCCCAGGTGGGGCAGGGGCACGGGAGAGGGGCCCAAGGTCAGGCCACTGCTGCTCCCCCTCCACAGCCTGAGCAGGTGCCCAGCACATGGCCGGGCACCCGCCCCACAGCCTGCAGAGCAGGGGCTGACCTTCATATTGGGGAAGTGACGGCTCAGGCTGACTTGGTGTTCCAAGTCGTGTGTGTGTGGTTGTGTGTGTGCCTGTTTACTTGTGTGCCTTTGTGCGTGTGTGTTCCACGCATGTGCGTGGGGGAGAGTGCATGCATGCTCATGTGTTTATAAGGGATAAGCCAGCTGCCGTCGAGTCAACTCTGACTCATGGTGGCTCCATGTGTGTCAGAGTAGAACTGTACTCCATAGGGTTTTCAATGGCTGAGTTTCTGGAAGATCACCAGGCCTTTCTTCTGAGGTGCTTCTGGGTGGACTTGATCCTCCAACCTTTCGGTTACTAGCCATGCATGTTAACCATTTGCATCACCCAGGGACTGACTGATACAGGGATACAAAAAGCTGGTCTCCTTGCCTTAGGGCAGGAAACTTCCGGGGTGCTATTCCCGCTCCAAAGCTCCCCGTCTTCCCACCTATAGGGTCAGACTGGGGCCAGACTCCTCCCAAAACTGCATCTGTGCCCAGCATACCTCCTTCTTCTGTTCAACGCCTCTCACTCCCCGTCTCCTGCGAGCCCTCCTTCCATAAATCATGTGCGGAGAATCCCCATCACCGGTTCTGCTTGCAGAAAACTCAGCGCACCTGGACCCTCTCTCCCCTGGTCCCACTGGCCTCTCCCTTCCCCAGTGTTTGTGCTTTTTAAACTCCCCCAAAAATGTCACCGGCAGGTTTCTTGCCTTGCTTCCAAACTCCCTGATAAATTCCACTGGCTGGGCAACCCCAGGAGAGGTTTTCTGGAGCAAGGAACCCCATAAATCACCCTGCTGCCACTCCGGCGTGGGCAATAGCTTATGTAAAAAGGTGTTTCCTGGGAGCGCCATAGGCAGGAGAATCCTATTACAAGCCGCCCCATTAATTATAAAGAGTCAAGTCAACCCTTTCCTGCGATTTTTTACCTTAAGTCCGAAAACTGATTACCTTCACCAATCCTTCCCCTTTCAAAAAAAAACCCTAAAGAATAAAATAAATATTTGAAGAACAAATAGCAAAGTTTTTCCTTTTAGGGGAGAACAAGCAGAGAGTGGGAAATGGCTTTTTTCCTTCTTCCTTTTAAGATAAAAGTGATTGAATCCTTGGTGTCTTTGCTTGATTCCTCAGCCCTTGGAAGGAGGTGCTGTAGTTCAACCCATACTACAGATGAGGGAAACTGAGGCTCATCTAAAGTTATATGGTCTGCCCTTCTGAGATGGTGAACCAGTTACCATGCAGATGGCTCTGATTCATGGTGACCCCATGTGTGTCAGAGTAGAACTGTGCTCCACAGGGTTTTCAGTGGCTGATTTTTCAGAAGTAGATTGCCAGGGCCTTTCTTCTGAAGTACCTCTAGGTGGACTAGAACCTCCAACTTTTGGTTAGCAGCCAAGTGCATTAACCATTTGCACCACCCAGAGACTTCTCTGGGATGGTGAGGTAGGCAGAAAGATCTGGGTTCAAATCCCATCTCTGCTGGTTCTGGCTAAGACCCCAAGCAGGTGAATTAACCTCTCTGAGCCTCAATTTCCTCTTCTGCAAAATGGGAGAATGGAAACATTTCTCAAAGGCTTCCAGGGAGAAGATCCGCTCTAATGACAGCAAGGACACAAGTCAGCGATGTCCCTCACCTGGGCGACTGCAGCAGTCTCCCTGCTGGTCTCCCTGCTGCCAGTCTTGAGGATGTCCCCCCAGCCCCCCGATTAATTTGCTACCCAGAAGCCAGAGCAGTCTTAAACAAACCTGAGGAAGATCTTTGTACCCCCCTGCTTAAACCCTCCCCCGGCGCCTGCTGCATTTAGGATAAAGGGCCAGCCCCTCACCTTTGCCTACAGGTCCAGCACCACCTGGCCTCAGCTCCTGCCCCTCTGCCAGGCTCACTGAGTTACAACCAGGCCGGGTGCTTACTCCTCCTGGAACTCGTCAAGCTTGTTCCTGCCGCAGGGCCGTTGCCTGTACTGTTCCCTTTGCCTGGCACACCCTTTCCCCATATCTCAGCAGAGTCTGCAACTTCTCCTCATTTAGGCCATGGCCGTCAAATGTCACTTCCTTAGAGGGAACCTCTTGGCCCACCCGCAGCCTGCCTCTCAGGGCCATGAGTAGGGTGAGGCAAGTGAGGCACTAGTCCCGGATGCAAATGTAAGGGAATGTCCCGGTTACCTAGTGCTGCTGTAACAGAAATACCACAAGTGGGTGGCTTTAACAGACAGAAATGTAGTTTCTCACAGTTTAGGAGGCTAGAAGTCCCGGTTCAGGGTGCTGGCTCTAGGGACAGGCTTTCTCTCTCTGTCGGCTCTGG